TTACATTACACCAATGTCAGTTATTGCAGAAAAGATTTTAAAATACTAGACTAGGCTGAAAGTTTAGTCTCTGAGAAGCATCAAAAATCAGCCAGAATCCATAACTTTATGCAGTGTGTCTCTATGGTAATAATGACACTGTGCATAGCCAATCCCAACCACATCTGTGTCTCTCCACCTCCCACGGGGGCTCCCCAATGAATTTTTCAAGATTCCATCCCTTTCTTTAAGATGCAGTAGCTCATTTTCTTCAAATTATTTTTTTGTCATTAGGGAATTCTGCATATCCAAACGTTTAATGATTATGTTTCTGGCTTCACTTGTTTTCTCTCTCGCACACACACACAGATTTTTTGCTCCCCTGCAATTTTCTGCGACAAAGAGGAAGATGTTTATGCAAACACAATTAGGAATGTGCATCGCTGGAATCAAGGCCTGATTTTGATTTTAATAGTTGCTCCATTTTCACTCCTGATCTTGTTTCTTGGTGGTGGGGCGGTAACCTCCTCTGCATGAGCATCGTCTGTATGGCCAAGGGAAGGTGTAGTAACCCCCAAGCAGGACTTGTTGCACTCCTTTAGAGTTAGGAATTACTCTTAATGCTTTGCTACTTTATCAAGTACAGAAAAACAAGCAGATAAAAAGCACAATTCAACCAAAAAAGCAGAAGTTGCTGTCGTGAGTAAAGTACAATCACAGATGACTCTGTGTGTCCTAGGTACAATTGTACAATTTTATTTAGATACTTGGCCAGTGAAAACAAAGCAAAGCTTGTATTCAAACCATATCTCTTTCTGAAAGGAAATAAAATAAAAAGGCCTCTCTTAAAACAAAATTTGGTTCCTTGCCCCGATTTGTGAGTAGCAGGTTTTGCATTTAGGTGGTGTTTATGGGGTGGGGTTTCTGGGAAGGTTGGTGAGAAGTGGATTTTCTGAAAAGGAAAGAAAATTCCTTTGAACCCAGCTTGTGTAGTAAAAGGAGTATGATAAGGATCACATAATATTCTGAGTTGGAAGGGACCCACAAGGATCACTGAGTCCAGCTCATGGCCCTGCACAGGACACCCCCAAGAATCACAGCATGAACATTGTCCAAGCACTCCTTGAGCTCTGTCAGGCTTGGTGTTGTGACCACTGCCCTGGGAGCTGTTCCAGTGCCCAAACACCCTCTGGGGGAAGAACCTTGTCCTGAAATCCAATCTAACCCTCCCCTGACACAATGTCAGGGCATTCCCTTGGGTCCTGTCACTGGTCACAGAGAGCAGAGGTGAGTGCTGCTCCTGCACTGCCCCTTGGGAGGGAGCTGTGTACAGTGATGAGGTCTGTCCTCAGTCTCCTCCCGGCTGAACAGACCAAGTGAGGAATCCATTTTAGAACAATTCTAGTGTTGCTGTCAGTGCTTCCACAGTTTTTCTTAATTAAGTGCACAGCAGTTACCATGTTCTAGATGTGAACACTTGGGAGGATGCAATGAAGTTAAAGAATCATAGAATTTTAGGGATCAGAA